GTTTAGCGCTAGGTACACTGGGCAGCACTGCTGGTGGCCAGTTATGTAGGTGGTGTTGACCTCTCTTGCGCTCTGCTGTGTCGGAGGTTGGGCAGTCTGCTTGTTCTTCATCCTTTCCTGTGTCTCTTTTGTCTCCGGACAATCTTTGGTGCTGTGCCCTGCGCTTTCGCCGTGAAAGACGCAATATGGCTTGCGTTGTTTCTGCTTGTGGTTTTTGTTCCAGTTTTTGTCTTGGTAACCTTGACGACCTTGGTTCTTGGTCTGGGTCTCCGACGCTGCTGGCGCTGCCAGTTGCCCCTGTTCGGGGTAGAGTTGACCCTCGATGCTGAACACTTGCCCCTGGCCTAGTTTTTTATTTCATGCATTCTGGTTCGTATAACTCTTCTGGGAGTTTTTGCTGCTTGTTTTGACCCTGCTCCTCCAGCCTTTTCCGGAGGTCGTTGTCTGATTTGTAGTATTTCTCAAACTCGTCATACAACTGTTGTATGGAGGTTGGTTTCTTTCTTGCTAGGTGTGCTGCGAATGGCCCGATTTGGAGGCCTTTGATCGCTGCTTCAATGGCGATCTCGTCTGGGACGTCTGGTGCCTTCGCCTTTAGTTGCACGAATTTCCGGAAGTAGTCGTGTAGTGTCTCTCCCTGCATTTGCTTGTATTGGAACAAATCTGTGGATGTTAGCGACTGTGCTGTTAGCCCCTTGAAATTTGCCAATATCTTGTCTCGGAGGTTTTCCCAAGAATAGACTGTGCTTGGTTTGAGCATGAAATACCAAGCCAACGCATCGCCTTCGGCTGCAATGACAAATGACTTTGCCAGGACGGCGTCGTCTCCACAGGTGGAGGCTACTGCTGCCTCGTAACTCATAATGAACTGATGGGGGTCTGTCTTTCCATTGAACTTTGGCAGTGTGATTGGCTTGTACGCTGTTGGCCATGGCGACTGTTGTATACCTTCAGAGAGTGGGGACTTAGGATCGATGGGCCTCCGCATCGCCTGAGATGGCATTGTGGGCGAGCTGATCACTAGCGGAGGTCCCTATGGTATGGTTGCAGTTGGTGTTGCTGCGGAGGCTGGGATTGCGGAGGTTGGCGCTGGTACTGCATGCTGCATACTCAGCATCTCAGCATGTAGTACTACCAACTGCTGCCTGATTTCTGCTGCTTGTGCTGATGCTTAAGTAGCTTGCTGATTGGCTACGAATGTTGCTGCCATTCTGTCCCTCTCTTGTTGCGCTCTCTGCAACTGTGCTTGCAGCTGTTGTAGTTCTTGCTTGGGTGTTGCGCCTTGGTTTGGTTGGGCCTCCGGATCTTGAATCTCTAGATCTTGGGGTTCTGGGGGTTGACCCTGGGCATCTGCTCTGGTGTCATCCTCCGCTTGCGAAGTTGCATAGGTGCTACGCATGGTGCGCCTAGGCCTCCCTATCTGACCCGTGGTCGTTGCTGCTCTAGTGGTGGTTTTTCTTTTCCCTGCCATCGTTGGTTTGCCTTGGCCAAACCACGGTAGGCGCCAATGTTGAAACTAGCGGTCTTAGACAATGGGAAGTGGCAAGGGCCTCCGCCCGCTAAGCCCCGCTCCCGGGCGGAGGCTCAGAAGATAGGCACGATAGGTGGGAAAGTAGTCGGATGACACGTAAAAACTGGGTTCTATTAATTCAATCACCAACCCCCCTGCACTTTTACATGTGTTCCCTATTTATAGGGCTCAACTACCCTTTTTACAGAGTTTACAACATTGCCCTTCAACTGCTACAGTACATTCTTGGAATATTCCATTACTTGTCTTCCGTCTGGGGGGTAATCTTGTTGCACCATCCTTAGGTAATGGGCCTGCATGACTGGCCGGCCCATCGAGCCTCAAGATTCGGCCTTGGTCCCCTACCGCTGGCCTCCGCTTCTGGGAGCGCCGAAGCCGCTGGCCTCCGACCGCCTAGAAACGCCGATCTTTCGCTCGGGTCTCCGCCCCAACGGTCGAAGACCGTGCAGGAGCGCCCGCGCAGTCCACGAGCGCCCTCATCCAGTTTCCTACACATGGTTAGGCAACGCCGGAGGCCGATTAGTTTTGTGGTGGGGCGACCCCCGCCCCGCAGGCCAGAGACGCCTGCGAGTTGACCGGGCGGAGACCGCGTAGTCGATCGAGCGGAGGCCGCACCCGGTCCTCAGGCCGCAACCTGCAAGCACAATTTCTCTGTCTCGGGTTCGAAGGCATGAGAGCCGGGCCTCCACCTTGGTGATAGATTGGAGATGTCATTGCGTCCTGCTGACTGCGTAGGTCTCTGCCACTCATGGTGGCCATGTTACAACAGTTCCCCCCTTTTGAGACCACGGTACGCCTGAGCGTGTCGTGAGCTCAAAAAGGCCTAGCCAAGGACGTCCGTGAGGGCGGAGACCTCACATAGTAGAGTCTCCGACCGGGCCCCCCGCTAGTTCCCCCCTGGCCCGCTCTGGCATGGCCGCTGGTCTTGTCGAAGTAGCCGTTAGGCTGCAGATTTAGCCATTTGCACCACACTGCTTCCCATTGTGGTACGGGCGGTTTCTCTGGAGGCGACCGTTGGACGCTGGCCGAATTCTTCGGAGACGACCGTTGAGACGCGTGGCGAGTTCTCCGGAGACGACCGTTGTACGGCAGTAGCCGAACCGCCCTCCCACGGCCTATATAAGGGCGGGGTTGGTGGAGGGGTCCCCCCCACACGGCTCATTCGCCTTCCTTGTCATTTAGAAATCGCGCTATGCTCTCTTCGCTCTCGCCTGAGCTGCCTTCGCGTCTTCTGTCTTCTCGCTTGCGTCTTCCGCTTAGGCTGCCGCCGCGGTGGCTTCCTCTTCCGCCTCCACCCACATCCACCAGCCCGCCTTCTTCGGACCCTATCACCACCTTCTCGGCGTTAGGGCAGCCGGCTGGAGCGCGCGCTTTGAGGAGTGCATGCTTGCCTCCGCCTCCGCGTTGGAATTTGAGAAGCTGCTGGAGGAGGATTTGGGGAGTGTCTCCGCGTCCGTCGGAGACCTGATTGCTGCGGACTCCGGAGACATGGCGATAAAGTCATGGGATTTCGGCCCCTCCTCCATTATTGAAGAGGCGATCGCGAAGATGTTGAAGGAATCGTATTTTCCTTCTTCGAGAGTGAAGATCCCTCCGTCCGGCCAGACCGTTCCGGAGCCAGAGGAGGGATATGCGGTGGTGTTTCGAGACTTCTTCACCTGCGGCCTCCGCCTTCCTTACATCCCCTTCTTCCGCCGGGTGTTGGAGGCGTTCAACATCCAGCTTCACCATCTGACTCCTACGGCTTTCCTTACGCTCAGCAAAGTTTGCTGGTCATGTGTTTCTTATGGCACCGAGCCGGACGTGGATACCTTCTGCGCCTCTCAACGCTCTGCCACCGCCAGCATCTCGCGGTCTCGCCCAGAAACGAAGAAGAGGGGAATTTTTCCCTCCCACACGCTGCCAGGAGCCCTAGAGTCCACATCATCAAAAGATGCCAACATGGAGCACCACATATGTAAAACCACCTAGGGGTTATTTATCCGGTTTCACAAAGTTTAATGTGCATAATACTTAGTTTTATAGTTCAGATATGTAGACCACCCTAAATACGCCGGGGCAGGAGGGGGGGTGGTTATATATACTTTTCCCAAATTGAATACTACTAACTTTTAAAGATCACAATCTATCTGCTTACTACGTAACTTGTATATGGATTTGTGGTGGTCTGGTGAAAGTTGAAATTTGATAGGATTGACTATGATTTGATTGGCAAGCAAATCCTAAACACGTATTTAATTTGGTCACAGAAATTAAAACTATACTCATAGGAGAGGGCACTAATATGATGTGTGCCAGAGTCTTGTAAATAAAAAACTATCCAAACATCCATCGATTCCTGAGTTCAGTGCTCGTTAATTTGTTTTAAAAAAACTTTGTTGCATTGCAAACGGAACATTGCTTAACTTGTTAGATTTGTTTGTCGCAAAAAAAAAAACTTGTTAGATTTGTTGTTACAAAACATGAGCATTTAAGTCCTCAGTTTGACACAAATATATATTGGAATTTATCTAAATTTATTTAAAATTTAATATGTGTCACACGCCTAATGATAGCCCAACACCTAGCCCAAGATATATGGCTGAGACACACATTAATTGAGCGCTGTCCCGCTGCACAGCATTTCGGTAGTCCATTCCATTCCATCTACGAGTTGAGAGACTACAGCTTCGTCTTTTTTGACATGAGGAAAACCCATTTCCATCAAGGAGACTCTAGCTTCGTCTTTTTATTTTATTCATCTCCTCCCTGTGCTAGCACGGCACGCATATGAACATTGATAAAAGATTGGGAAGTCTCATTTGTTGTTCATTAGTAACCTTAACTTGAGATCCTAACACAAGCACTGAGAGAAACAGTGAGACGAAGCTATATGAAAAGGAGGAGAAAACTGAAGTGCAAACACGAGTGAGGCCCCCTTTGGATTGAGGGCGAAATGGAGGGAAAATGTAGGATTCTAGATCCTAAGGATTTGGCTACTGTTCACTCCTTTGGATGACAAGAAAGGATCACAGAAAAAATGGAGAGAACATTCCTATGGCAGCCATTCCGGAGGAAAAACGGAGGATTTCTACCATCCACTCCGGCCTCTTTTTTTGCGCGAAGACCGGGGCATCTTTGTCTGTTCACGCCATTTCTTTCCATATTTGATTGTACGGCAAGAGCAGCTGGTGGCTATCCAGGTCGTCGCACCCATGCATGCTTGTCGTCCTTGTCACCAGGATTGCTTGTCACGGGTAAACAGTAGCCAGGCACGCACATGCAGTTCCTTTGTTTCACCTGAGTCTGCCAAAGACATTTCTGTTGATTTTCCTGAACTGTTAAATCCTACGGGAAAGCATATAAATTCCTCCACTTTTTCTATCCCTACTTTTTTCCTATCCTACTTTCAAGTTAGATCCAAAGGGGGCCTGAGTGGGCCGACACCGGGCTGTATATATGTAGCCCATACCATACCAGCAGTGGGCCAATGGGTGTGGGTGTGGCTCCTCGGGCCTCAGTTACGGATGACAGAGGCACCGTTTCATGTAACAGAAGAAACTGGTTCCTTCCTTCGCCTGTAATATTTCTCAAAAAAAAAAAAATCTTTGCCTGTAATAACGGAAAACCACAACTACACTACACTGTGCTTGTGCCTCTGTCGGGTGGGCCAGGCATCCTTCTCTACTGGCTGCTTGTTGCTTGCTGTAAATACACATGTACGGAGTACACATACTGTACGAGTACAAAGATACTGACACGCATTACGCGGGGAGGACGGACGAGACGGAGGAGTAAAAACAGCATTTGCTTTTTCTACCCACCACCACCTTTACATTCACCTTTCATCCTCCTCAATCACTGCTCCCTTTCCTTCTCTTCTCACCGCGCAGGCTCATCAGAGGCCAGGCCAGAGGCGCAAAGGCAGAGCAGTTCACTCCATCCACGCCCTGTGAGTGCGGTGCGAGCAAGAACCACTTCGATCGGCGTGGGCGAGGGTTTCGCTGCAGCGCGTCCGAGTGCGATCGCCGCCTTCCGTCTTCTTCCATCCTGGAACAAGTGCGGCAGTGGGGCTTGGCACTCCACGGCTCCACTCCAAGCAAAGCAAAGGGATTCCAAGGTACGGGCCGTACCACGAAACCCCAACCGCTAGCATTTCCTTTCCCTTTGCTCCCCCCACTTTCATGCTCGCTTGCTTGATCCGCGGACCAGCAGAACACCATAAAGCTTGTGCCTTTCGTCTAGGAATAGTCCGCACGAGATAATCTCCCTTTTCTGTTCTGGTTGTATTCTGCTTCTTCTTGGATGGATTTGAGTTGAGCTACTTCACCCTTTAGTACTCCTAGAAAAAAAGTAGTGGTTTTGTTTGATGATTCGATTGGTTCGTGTGCGTGCGCTGATGATTCGATCGAGGGTAGGATTTCCCTCATACTCCTAGCTGATAACGCATTGTAGCATTCAGCAATCTATGCAGGGCAAGGGCATTGATCCCGAAAGATTCGTGAATAGAACAGGGTTTTGTTTCGCTCAAAAAGAACAGAGTTTTGTCTGCGGGTCAGGGGGAATTTCTTTTCACCCCCCTGAGTAATATAATTGTTGTTGCTTCTAGAATGAACATCAAGGGGCCAGCCATTTAGGTCTCTCCCGTATTCCACTTCATTGATTTCGCATGTGTCATACCCAATTACTGGTGCCTTCAATCATGTACAACTTGAGAAGTTCCTTCATTAATTTTTGCCCTGTGGTCCCACTGCAATTTCTTTTGTGTGGGAGGACTGGGCATTGTACTGAGACATTATTTATTGATTGAACTGCTGCACATCATTTGGTACTCCATTCCAACTACGAGTTCAGTGACTGGAGCTTCATCTCCATGTGCTAGTACATATCAACACTCAGGAACCAGGGCCCAGGGGCAGTCGCATCTGTTGGAGTTTGTTACCAAAATACCAAGCTTAACCTGAGACACTGAACTTGTAATGTAGCTGCACTTGCATACTAATCATCATTGAAATTCAGTTTGCATTATTAGTAACTTGTGCAAAATTGGCCACTTCAAACACATTTGTGCACCATGATATGAAAAATAAAGTCTCAGCAAGGGTCATCTGCTCACTTTGATATTGATATGTATATGTACCTAATTATGTTGCCTTCTTCTCTGTTGCGATGAATCAGAAAAAAACAAGTCTGAAAATATAATGTGCAGCAAGTGAGAGTTTTCTTGAACTGTAGTGTACAATAAGCTGAGTCAAATGATGTGATAATACCAAATTGTAGTATCTGTATTTGCATTACTGTCGTTTGATCTTTGCTTTCATGTTTATAGAAAATAACTAGTTGTGATTCCTGAAGAACATTGCCTTTTCTTGCCTCATGCATCAAACATGCAACTGGGTAGTGCAGTATATTTATTCCTCTTCTTTTGTTTCTCATCTTGCTAGTATCAGTACAATGGTGACGAGCAAATCCTCGTGGAGCCAGGTTGTAAAAAATACAAGACCAACAAACCTGTCCATTCCCACAAGAAACCTCCAACCACAAGACCTTGGAGCTGTGATATTTGGTTGCACAAACAATACCATTCAAGAGTGTCACTCACGGCAACTTTTTGGTATGCTCTTGATCTCTCTTGATCACAACTCTTCTCTAAGCTTTGTATTTACAAAACTGAGCTACCCCTTTAATTCATTTGTTTTCTTTTTCCTGTAAGAGGGGTATATCATTCCATGCTTCCCAAAGTATATCAAATTGTTGAGTGATCCAGTGACTTGGTTACCATTTGTGTCATGTTTCAGGATTGCCAAAAGGACATATTTCGTATGTGCGAAACATTAAGGAAGGACTACCTCTCTTCCTCTTCAACTATGATGATCGAAGATTGTATGGTATTTATGAAGCTGCAGGGAATGGAAAGTTCTGTCCTGAATCAAATGCATGGTCACATGATAGCAAGGGCAAAACAAGCTATCCTACCCAGGTACAAGCCCTGGTGTTTGTACTTTGAATGTCATCTTCTTTTTCACTCTCAATAAAATGGCTTCTATATTCATGCCCTTTTATTTGTGTAGGTTGCAATGCGGGTAAGGGTGTGGTGTTTCCCGCTTGCTGAGAATCAGTTCAGAAATGCTATTGTAGCCAATTACTATCAGAACACACCCGGTGTCCCTGGCCAGAAGCTCCATTTTTTCAAGTTTGAATTGGATCATGCTCAAACACGTGTTTTGATGGATATGTTTACTCCTTCTCCTTCTCCCCCCAATAATTTCTGGATGCCCCCTGCCGCAGCACCAGCTGATGAGCATGGGAGAGAATTAGTGCTGTCACCTGGATGGGCACTAGAGTTTGAGGGGAACAATCTCCTCAAATCAGAAAAGGTTGTAAAGTCATATGCAGACATAGTAAAGAAGAACAATCTTGAGGAAGTTGGGACAAGAGATGTGGATGCAGAACATTCAAGCTCAGGTAATGAATCTTCTGGTGGTTTCGATGAACTGGATTGTCAACACACATCACCAGAGAGGGAGAACTATGCACTATCAGATAGGGTGGTTCCAGTGCAACAACAGCAGTACCCTAATGAGCAGGGAAAAATGCCGAGCTTTGATCAGGTGTTACAAGGGCGCATGACTTTTCCTGGTCAGCAGTGGCAAACTGGTTTTTATGGCAACACTACTGAAACCGAAGATAATGATGCATATAGCTGCAAGTATGCCCAAGAGGTCAAATGTGCAATTCTGGATGGGAACTCTATTTTGCCAGAAACCTTAGAGTCTGAAGTTGATAAGCTGTCCTTGGGGCATTCTAATTTGCTGGTGCAGTTATTGGACTCTGAACCGTGCACAGAAGCCAAGGTTTTAACTTTGAACTCAACTGATATCTGAATTCCATCTTATCATCCTTGTTTCGTGCTTCAGTTCATTCAGTCTAGCTAACATGCTTAGTTTTTGTCTATCTATTGCACAATTTCTCACACTAATTTTTGTTTGCAGCTGATTGATGCAGTTAAAGAGTTATCTGGACGAATAGAGGTCATGGAGCAGAAGCAGGTCTCTTCTTTATGCTATAACCTCATTAGCAGCCTTGCATCTGTTATACTAAACCATGTAATCTTAAATTTATGGAAATTTATATGCAAAAAAATAAACCAGAAATTGCACTTTGAATAGACGTGTTGATAACTTAGCATGACAATCTAGGAACCAAGAGAATAAAGCAAGTGACATTATGTTGAGTAATTTTTTTATATTATTATTACTGATACTAGACTGCATTTATGTAGGATTGGAATAGCTAAATTTGCACTCTAGAATGGCTAAATTTGTTATGTGGCACTAATAGGGAGAATGCATAAGATTGTAGTGTTTTTGGTTCACGGCTACCTAAAGAAATGGAAGAATTAAGGCAGGATGAAATGAAAAGATTTTTCCATTATGCTTATAAATCAGTCTCGCATCTGCTTAGTTTCTAATCAATCTTTCAGCTAGGATCCTCTATGATCGATTGTTCAACCTCACCCTTTCAATATGGAAGTAGAGAAAAAAGTATACAAGCCCGAAGTATAGGAAAAACATCTAATGTGCTGGCAAAAAAAGTTTTGGTGGTTAAATCTAATTTATGTTCAAAATGCAGGCTTGGTCCAACAAAGAAGTCAAACATTTACAAGGGGTGAATGAGAGGTTACTGAAAAGAATTGTTGAACTAAAGGGAACAGTTAAGACATTGAATTCTAAAATAGATCCTTTGACCCTAGACGATTCACTTAACCAGTTTGTAGAACAATGTTTGGGTTCAGAAGATGTCATTTATCTAGTTGGTGGTTTTGATGGCTGCTCATTTGTGCCATCACTAGACTCTTTTTCCCCTTCATTGGACGTGCTAACACCCCTCAAACCAATGGCTGTTGGCAAGTCATATACCTCAACTGTTGCACTAGAGGGCAAGATATTTGTTCTTGGTGGTGGTGATGGTGCTTGCTGGTTTGATACAGGTTACTACTTGGCTTCTATTTTTAGTTCCCTCTTGAGCTCTCGTATTTCAATCTCTGTCCTGATTCTGCATTTATCTTTTGGATGAAGTTGACTGTTATGACCGAAGCCGTGATGATTGGTCCACATGCCCATCGTTGACTCGTGAAAAGGGGAGCCTTGCTGGGGTTAGTGTCAATGGGAGAATCTATGCATTTGGTGGTGGAGATGGAACCGAGTGTTTCTCTGATGTTGAGATGTTTGATCCTGTGCATGGAAAGTGGATAAAGAATCAACCTATGCTGGAAAAGGTATCAGTTTCTACCATTCATTTGTTCTAGAATGTGAAAGCTTTTCTTCTCATACATTACTGAATCACTTAGTAGAAAATGCATAAATATGCCTAAGACAAACAGCTTGAGAAATAATAACCATTTACTCATGAAAAACTGTGTGAAGAAAAACAGTTCCTGGTTCCACTTCAATTTCATGTGCTGTCCTTTTTGGGAAAATATTTGCTTCTGACACAAATATCCACATAATATGATAAACTCTTTAGCTTGACTGACTTTGTCACACTGTTCTTCAGCGCTTTGCTCTAGCTGGTGTAGCACTAAATGGTGTGATTTATGCTGTTGGTGGCTTCAATGGTGTTCAATATCTGAGGTGCTGTACTTTTCCTGCCTGTACTTAGTACTTGATTGGTTTAGTTTTGATCTGGTGGAAATACAACAGCTCATAAAACCTCCAAACATCTCAAAACAATTAGTTAAACCTGTGATGGCCTATGGTTTAGTGCAAATCTAAATAAACTGAATTATTTCATAAATGTTCATTATCCTATTCTCTATTGCTATAATGGCAGTGGTATTTGAAGTGAGAGGAACAGCAAGAAAACTATTTGCTAACTTTGTGATGTGTATTGGCAGCTCTGCTGAAAGACTTGATCCTCGGGAGCCTAACTGGAAAATGCTGCCAAAGATGAGTGCAGGAAGGGGCTGTCATACACTTACAGTGCTTGATGAGAAGATGTAAGTCATGTAACTCTTTCTTTATATGTTGAAACAATGAACTGAAGATATGTAGGATGTTCCTTTTGAAAAAAATGCTATATAACGTGTGCCCAGCAAATGAAACGCGGGTGCGCATCAGGGTGTATACTATCCTTTGTTGACGTAATTTGCCTTTGTATTTTCTTCCAGATTCTCGATTGGTGGATACGACACCGGGGCTAAAGCAATGGTGGCTACTGTTGAGGTGTACGAGCCAAGGATGCCGTCATGGATGATGGTTGAACCCATGAACTACACCAGAGGATACCATTCTTCAGCTGTGCTTGGTGGTTCAATATTCACCTTTGGTGGGGTGAAAGGTGAAGCAGATACAATCTTGGATGTGGTAAGTAGTTATGCCAACTGATAAATTTCTTACCATGCCCATTTGACTGTCGATAACTCAAACTATAAGCTGGAACCAAGAATCATACATCCAAAACCTTGTATTTAGCTGCCAGGGCTTGATAGTGACTAGTGAGGCAGTCACTGGACTGGCTTTTGTCAAGGGTCTGCCTACATCAACTGCATATGTTGTTTGTTATCATACCAGTCTCGGCATGGCAGTGTACTGCATTTGAGATGAGCACATATTCTTGGGTCCTTAAGCACTTGTTTTTATTATTTTGCTTTTCTGTCCCTACTACATATACCAGTTTGTTGTCATGTCAGTGGCTAGTGCATTTTATCTGAACAAGTGAACATGAATTCTTTGGTTTCCTTAAGTATGCTGTTTTGGTCATTGTCGTTTTTTTTTCTGTATACAATAATTGTCAAGTAAGCATTGGTGTAATGGCGATCTGTCAGGTGGAACGCTACAAGGAAGGGTGTGGTTGGGTGACTACGGGGTTGAAGTCGATTGGCAAGAGATGCTACTGCTCAGCAATTGTTCTCTGACTGTAACTGCCTACAACAGTATTGACATGGCGAGATGTTGTAACTTCTGACAACCAAGTGAGCAGTAAACTGATATTAGGCAAAAACTTAATTTAGTACTGAGAAGGCTCTTGCTTAGCCTGAACTGACAACAGTAGACATGATGGAGGTCTTCCTCCTCTCAGTTTCTGAATCTTGGAGAACTGTAAAACATTGAGCTGTTTGTGTTGACTGGGTCGATGATGCAGCAACACCGGATGTGACAGAGTTGGTACTGAACTAGTGTAGAACGGCACTCGATTGATGGATATCCAGTAGCACTGTGATGGTTATTTGACTGTGTGTTGTGCTTTGCTCTTTTAGTTCCAGACTTTCACAATCTACTGCATAATCGTTCAGAACACACTCTGAAAACTTGCGGCCTTCTCGATTCTCATTCAGAACACACCTCTGAAACTGCAAAGGCGACTTCAGTTTCAGACTTACCCAACAACACTGCTTCCGCTAGGTGCTTTAATTTGTGTTGGGGTGTCTCTACCAATCTCATCTTTGTCACTTGTCAGACGATCTTCACGCTGGCCGGCAGTTACAATAATGCAAGAACACGTCTTGTGCGTGCGCACCTGCCGCTTGCATTGCAGATGGCAGAAGCCGTTTGCCAGCCCCATCACCTGCAGCAGGCATGCATCTATGTGTGTGTGTGTGTATATATATATATATATATATATATATATATATGCGGTGCAGTGGGCAACCGGCAGGCAGCCATTCCATGGACACATTGCATTGGTAAGTCGTAGCTACCATACCAGATCGATAAGCTGCAGCATTTGCATGCCTAGGTAGCTCCTACGGTTAAGATGGAGACTCTAGAGCAACAGGTTTGCATTGTGCAGGATATAAAGCAAATACACTGTTCTATATATTTGCCACGCACCATCTTTACTAGTTTTGCTGGGTAATGTATTGGATCACACTTATGAGTTGAATAAACAAATAAATACCCGTTCAATTTGTTTTTTTACCGATACATGGTTTCCTTGTATTTCGAATTGAACAGGGTATTTATTTTTTGTTCTACTCATAAGTGTAATCAGACACATCACCCAGTTAAACTAAAGATAGATGATGCTTGACGAATATTGAACATTATATTTGCTTTATCCTGTCCAATAACCATAGTTTTGTTTCAATCTGACAAGCAGCTTGGTTGAGATGAAGTTCATTAGAGCCAGAGGTGGTCATAGTCTGCATCTTAATGTACCATGCTTCTATTGTAGCGACCATATTTATGAGCTTGTGGTACGTGTGCTGCTGTCAAAAAAAAAAAAAAATCATGTTCATTGGCACCACACTGCTGCTATAGTACTGATACCTCATTCTTCTAATATCACTAATGCCCAAGGTAATCGCATATAGAAGAATTGGAAAAAAAAATAACGAGCAAAATACTGAAATTGGGTTGTGAATTTGTGACCCGGGCACTTATCTAAATTAGGTAAGGGGTTTTACATGGTGCCAGATGGAGTATACATTGTGTTCCTAATCTGACCAGATATTCGAAGATAATTAAGTAAATATTTATAGCGAATCATGAATGACTGATGTGGCTGCAAATTATGTTGGAGTCGTTTTATAAATGATACAACTTCTGACAGCTGGAAGTGGAACACAAAATGGAAGGTGAAAAGATTAAGATGCCCAAGGCGAGGGTTGAACTGCTCTAAGTAAAACTTCTTGCAGAAAATAAACATATCGCTTAGCCTACTTCGCGGAAATTAACGCTGTGGATGCTCAAGATAATCCGGGGGAAGTCCCACATGTGCTTGGCATCAAGTTTCTTTGGCGCAAGGATGCGTTGGCCCTAGTGTTCTTCGAAAAAAAAAATGTTGGCCCCAGTGTAGAATGGGACTCACATTGATGAATCCAGTAGCCCTGTGATGGTTATTTGACTCTGTATGTTGAGTTGCTCTTTTGATTTCAGCTATTTACTAAAACAGCTAGCTTGTCAAGACCATGAGTTGGCTAGAACGAACTTACAATAACCTACTGAACAGCGCGATAAAATTCAGGATAAACGGAAACACGGATGAATAATCCATTCAGTTTTCAGCCTGACACAGCAGTACTGCTAGCTGCTTGTGTTTGGGGCCAATCGATCGCAACTCCATTCAGTAATGATCACACTACCAAGCAGCAGGGCTGCACGCACGTACGTACGTGTACACGGTACACACCAGACATGCCTCAATCTTATCCTTGTCAGCCGATCTTAACGTACGCTTGGGGCAGTTGTTACAACTCACAAGACCACGTCTACGAGACCGCAATGCTCAAATTGTCTACGAATTATAAGTCGCTTTAACTTTTTGGTACATAGATTTTGTAAAGTACACAAAAAGTTAAAACAACTTATAATTTGGAACGGATGAAGTATATTGTTGAAGCTAGGAATTTTGGTGAACATATCAAAATATACAAATTCCTCTAGCTCAAAGGAGGAAAATCACACACATTAATTTCAAATAAATTAATGTCGCCGCAAGCTCATCACATGTCTAATAAAGGTCAGACAAACAAAAAGCAACAAGCCCAAAAAGGCTTAAAAACTTCATAAAGAGGGGAACACAATGTACTATTAAAATGTCTGGTTACTAAAAGCAAGTACCATTCCTTGAGGGAACCACCATAGCAAACAAAGATGGTAAATCTAAAAAAAAATGACAACTAGTTAACTAGTAGCATCTATCGTAGAAGAAAGCTAACTAGTTAGCATTACACTATAATTATTCGGACATGACTTCTTGACAATAGATTCTACCATATAAGCGAGTATCTTCGCTTCTACTCTGACATAACTAATGTTTGCAAAATTGACAAATGCACAAGCCATGAATTGCATGTCCTGAACAAAAGTATCCTCCCACATCGACACCCTAGGATTTGCTCTCCAAATAACAATTTGCTTTGCAAATAGCCTTAAAACAGAATGGATGGACTTTAACAAATTGCCAACAATTTTCTACAAGAAATATAACCACCATTAGTAAATTATTATCTCACTTAATATCCATTATAGTAGAATGACCATCAAATTAGCATAAATATCCAACATTGAGTTTCTTGGAAAGGGCAATAAATGAATGAATAGAATTGAAGCAAGGTGGAATAACCGGAAAGGGCATTATTACGTCATCAAATATACATTAAGTAGGTGAAAAAGGACGAATATATAGGGAAAACAAACCTGCAGAAGTAGGATCTCCATTTAAGACAAGTACTAGGAAGAAACACAAAACAACATATCGTGCATTCATGATTAAACTTAAGATGTGTAGGGTATATGTTGTTGGAAGTGAAGGGCTTACAATATATGCTTTGCACATATAAGTTTTGTGTGTATATATAGAGAGTTCAAGCACTAATAATAGAAATACAATACGATACAACCAAACCAGTACATGTTCGACTATTGAACTTCAACTAAAAGTTAGTTACTAGTAGACTAAAAATCTTGGCAGGAAATGGTCTAAGATCAGCCACATGCACCGAAAGATCTATCTCTCAAGTAAACCAAAGAGGTCTAGATACAAATCGGGTGGCATCACTAACACCACAGAATTGGCATGCAGGCCTAATTATGCATGGATAGCATGAAACCTTGCATGGTCTTTTGAAATAGTCATCTTATGAATTATCCACATTGGCACACATACATGCTAACACGTAAGGGATTACAATATTTACTTTAATTTCTTAGTTATAATTTTTTTGGTCAAAGGGCTTTTATGGTAAACTCTTTTATGGAGAAAAAAAAGAAATGCCCTTATCAATCACATGCATGCTATTAATTTCATCATTCTTTTTCATTTCCTTCTAATCAGTCTAAATACACACGTACTTATTTCTATAACATATTTATTAACTAATGTTCAAATTGATGGTCATATCATTACCCCGTATATTAAAAATGTGATCTAAATATTGTAACATACTCATATTCATAAAAGTTTTACAAAAAAAATATTTATTAACAAGAACTAACATTTAAATTGATAATCATGTTTATTGTGTTTAATAAAGCTATCATGATGGTGTTAATCAAGTTTACTAAAGAAATGTGTCATTAATCATCATAGGCATGAACATTTTTTATGCTCCAACCTCAATATGATGTTCCTAGCAGCCTCTGTCTCATCCACCCCACGTCCCCACCTCTGCCCCCACTAGGTCCTGTCCTCCCTAGCTATGCATCCCAAATAGCCTGCAAAAGATGAGAATTAGCGATTTAAGGATTGATTTGTGTGTAAGGTTCATTTAAGTGTTCATGAAAATAGGTTCTTTTTCTTCGTGGTCTAGTGGTTATAACTGAATAAAACAAAGCTGCAATCTCATATCATATATGTCATGTCTGTAGAAATGGCAACTGATTATACATGACTTGACTCTTGTTTCTTGGCTACGGTTTACTTTGTTTACATGTGAGTTACTATTGCATATATGTCATTTTCAGGGAGGCAAGTGCACAGACCAGGAACCTGATGCAATGGATTTTTTTAAGGAGTGCCACTATACAGCAAAAAAAAGCCTATACACATGCTGTTCATAATGCTATTGTAATAGATGTCAAGGTTGACAAGGACCTATTGTTGAGTTTTCTTAAGTTTTATGATGACCATAACATGTTGTGTAAATGTACTGCAAATTGAGTTAACGAAATTGTTGGGTTATTATATATATGTGTGTGATTTTTATTATATAATCAGTGAAGAACAATTTTAGTGAACACATGACGCTTACATGGCAAATCAAATCTGTGATGGAAAAACATCCTACATAGCATCCTATGTGGTAGACGGCGATGACGGTCAATTTTGTCACACACTGTCGGGCCTAGTCTGGGCTAAATGGACTTCCATAGATTCTATGACAAACCTAAATATCAATCTACGACGGCTCAATTAGGTATAGCAAATGTATGAAGTGAGATACATGATGAATTTTTCAATCGTCATGGTAAGTTAACCGTGGCGTATTTTTTACTGTCTGTGACCAAAGTGTCCATCATGTAAAGCACTATTTCTTGTAGTTTATTCCATAGGTTTTAGGAGTGTCGGTAGCAAAGGTGTGACACCGGATTCGCACCAAACGTGTCTCTCGATCAATCTCATCTTTGTCAGCCGATCTTCAGGTACGGCGCCCAGCAGTTACAATAATGCAAGAACACGTCTTGCGTGCGCATCTGCTGCCTGCATGCATTGCGGATGGCAGAAGCCGTTTGCCGGCTCCATCACCCACCCACACTCCCACTCCCAGTCTCACCTGCGGCGGTCATGTATGTGTGTATATATATATATGCAGTGCAGTGGGCAACCTGCAGGCAGCCATTCCATGGACAGACACATTGCATTGGCAAGTCGTAGCCACCAGATCGAGTACACATACGCCTGACTCCCTGACTCCCTGACTCCCTGCTGCAGCATTGGCGTGCCTAGCTCCTATGGTAAGATAGAGACTGCAATCAACTGAAGGTAATTTCAATTCATGAACCCAAGCTTGTCAAATAGAAACATCACTACACTTAGGTAACTGGTTTGCATTGGGCACGGGATAAAGCAAATATACTATTCTTCTATATAATTTGCCACGCATCATCTTTACTAGTTTTTTGCTGGGTAATGTATTTTATTACACCTATCGGCTGAATAACCAAATAAATACCCGTTCGATTCGAAAAACAATGTAAACATATGTTAGTGACTGAAAGGGAACGACATGAATAAATGCCTAGAAAAGTTATGAGGTAACCTGCTCCAAAGGGCCCAACTTCACCTGAAAATAATTAGGCAAAACACCAAAGCATCGGCAAGTAGTTAAATTTCTAACTTATAGTATTGCAAGTTTTAAAATAAGTTAGGCAGGGAAACTAACTCTGAGCTGCTGGGTCTATAGTATAGTATGGTGCTACTGTAGATACTACAACAATTTGCGCCAAGGGGGGTAATCTTTATTAGCCACCACCGGTAGTGCCCAACTTTCTACCGTCATGTACCTTCCTCGTGCACATGGTTGAGAGGAACATAATAACCAAGAAAAGTAGCTGACTGTTTGTTAAGGCCAATATAAAGGAGTGCAAATAATATCTTGGTAATGTTTTTCTTCACCATGTACATGAGGAAGGTACTGTATAGAAACTTAGGGTGGAGTATGTTTTTTTGTTCTTGGCTGCAAGTTTGATAGTCTGCATTTCACCTCAGGTGTGGAGTATGGATGTTCAGTTGGACCAGCATGTGGGTTCACATTGCCAACGAGGGGTTAGCAGTAAAATTCTTCGGTAAGTGATGAGATCTAAAAACCCTCAACCTCATTGAGCTTATCACAAGTGTCATAAAGTTCATTATTTTCTTTGGCTGAAATTTTGCCTCAACAGTGAGCCAGACACAAGCTGCAACAAGAAAGGAAAAGCTGATTTAAGTGAAAATTGGAAAATAATTGTAAGTACACTCTTAATCATGTCATGGTTCTTATCTACAATGATATTCCATCAAATATGTCATTAATATTTCAACATTGGCAGAGTTTTGTTGTTGAACTGATCAACATTGTTGTAGCAACTTTTTCAACGGGCGCTGACTATAAATGTATACAGGTATATATTCTTCATTATTCCAACTAAATAAACCATCAAATCAATATGTGTAATGTGTTGCCCCAATTAAATAATAAAAAATTGCTTGATTTAATGTTTGCAGTTTAATAATGTAGTAGAGTCAGAAAACGACATACCATATGGGTATGGCTTTTTCCATTTTGTCTTCGCTATTAGGTTCCATGTATTTTGGCATGTTGTTTCTCGGCTGGGACACACATCATGCATCAGAAAAGTAAGTTAATACATATATCTGATCAGAAATAAATAGATTGAAATAACATGTTTTTGTTCTTGGCTGCAAGTTTTATAGTTTGCATCTCACCTCAGGTGGAGTATGGATGTCAGTTGGACCAGCAAGTGCCAACGAGGGGCTAGAGCAGTAATATTCTTCGGTAAGTGATGAGATCTAAAACCCTCAACCTCACTGAGCTTATTATCACAAGTGTCAAAAAGTTGGCCACAACAAATACGCAGTCTTGTATCAATGATCAATCTCTATTGTCTTTACACAAAAAAGTATATTATGTCATACTTATTAGTTAATATATGAATGCTTGTATCTGCAGTAGCAATAGTCCTTTCAAGAATATTTGGAACAGGCTGGCTCCGGCAGTTCCTTGGGCAGATGTTCGGAATAGGCAGCCAGCAACATGGTGACCAATCTCATGCCACAGAGACGGACACTGGACGGCCACCTTCTTGGTTACCCCCAACGACGACCACAGAGCTCCACATTGACCTCTCGAGCACAAATGACGCTAGACCAGCCCCTCAAACGTCTGTATTATTTGAAATTGAAGAGATATAAATACGATGACGGAGGCAAGCACATATATTACATGTATGGAGGAAATTTGGTATAGTATGTTTGTTTAGACAAGAGAACATGGGTTGATGTACAACTTAGCGGGCTATAGCCTCATTTAGCTCAGCTATAGCTGTTTTAGAGATCATCCGCTAAATACCTTTGGCGAGATTTAAAACCTTGGTTCGGGGTCATTGGCTACCCGGACGACGCTCTGTGCTACCTGACAGTAGCACTGCTGCACGCATGACAGTTTCAACCTGACAGTACCAATGCAATCTCCATGCTCGGGCAGCAGACAGGAGTCACCAAGATCACCAATGCAACAGGAGCACATGGCCGGCCAGCAGCACGCACTAGACGTGCAGTGTGTCCCTACTCTAACTGAAAGGTCGACACACGCCCAAGTTACCGTCGCCCATTCCTGCCTGCCGCATGCCTCTCTTGCCTGCCGGTGCGTGCACTGGAAACTATATATACACTAGTGATTGCTCCTCTATTAGTAGCTGCTTTGAGATGAACTACTGCTGCCACAACACACACTCGATCTGATGGTCATATATCGTGGTATGGATGCCAGTTGGACAGTATTTGGGTGCATATTGTTAATGAGGTTGTAGCAGAGGATGACTAGACGACATTAACAATATGGACTCACGTACTCGTCCAACTGACCCTCAGCACCATTTGTGCCGTCTCTGTAGTGCCAGCCAAAGGCTGCCGGCCGGCGACCGCGGCCCTCTGGTCGACTTCCCTCTGCTGTAGCACCGGCCGTCGCCACCGTGCCTACTTTTAGTTTGCAAATTCTTTTTCTATAATTTATTTGCAATTCTATCTGTGGGGGGCCGGGTTTCCTTGAGCAATTTCTGATTTCATCCCTTGTTGGTTTGGGCGACATGTATGTTATATTTTGTATGCACTCTAAAAGATGAGTGCAGGAAGCAGCTGTCATATACTAGCAGTGCTTGATGATAAAATGTAACTTTGTAGCTCTCTCTTTATACGTTAAAACAATAAACTGAAATAACTTTGTAGCATGGCACAAAACCGTAAGGCCGTTCTTTCCCTAGTGCTCTTTATTTGCTTAGTGCAAATTCAAACTCACATGAGACACAAACATCACCGAGTGCTTTTTTTTTATATATATTGACACTCAAGAAACACTGAGGGTTGATTGCCGAGTGTCTATTCGCGGGAAGTCTGTCCTGAGTTATGTTTCATGTTAGCGAGTGTTTCTGGCACTAGGGAGTACGTAAGGGAGCTTCATAGATTCTGGTAGTTAATTATATAAGGGGGGTTGACTTGAGGAAGAATCCATGGGCAGCTGGAAATCTGGGCAGAAGGGTGTATTTAGATCTATGGACCATGGGCTAACGTCAAGGGCACTGCAATGTTGTTTGAGTTCATGAAAATTAGGAAAAATATGCACTAATGCAATGGGAGGCTATGACATATGGGAGATATGTGCGGCCCAGATACAATCAAGCCGGACAAACGGTTGAGAAGCAACCATGACCACCACTAGCGATATAGAAACTGTCTATTATTGAATGGAGACAATAAATATAAAAGAGAACTTGTGCAGCATCATATTGCAGACTTCTGCTTATATTATATACCGTCAGAACGTAGGAATATAATATAGATGAACATATATATCTAAAGATACATGTACCTCTAGAGCAAATGAGCGAAAAATTACACACATTATTAATTTCAATTAAACTAATAAGGTCGATGCAAGCTCATCACATGGGAGGTGAAACAAAAAACAAGAACCCCGAAATGACTTAAAAACCGTGAATTAAATATCACAATGTACTTACAAATAGTCTAGCCACTGCAAGCATCTTGTTCTTGACATAGAATCATCAAAGCAAACAAATATGAGAAATTTAAGGAAAAATAGCAACTAGTCAACTACTACTATCTATATGGCAAAAGATCAAACTAGTAAACTCTGTGACCCTATAATTATTTGGACAAACACTTCTTGATAATGGATTGGAACATAAACATAAGAGGCTGTCTTCTTTTTCTGTTTCGAGAGAGCTAATGTTTACACAATTGACAAATGCATGCCATAAATTCCATGTCCATCACAATGGTATCCCCCACATCGACACCTTCGAATTTGGCCTCCAAATTACAATTGGTCTTGCACATAGCCTTAAAGCAAAATGGATGTACTTTAACAAATTGCCAGCAATTATCTACATAAAAGTAACAAAATATCATAAAATTATAATATTGTTTGTTTCTAATCACAATAAAATAGCCATAAAACCGACATAAATGTTCAAGTTCAACACTAAGTTTCTCAAAATAAATAAATAAATGAATATCAACTAGTTGAAAGAAATGAATTGGTATAAATCTATGATGCATCAAATATATTAAAAAAATATACATGATAGTGGTGAAAAACATAGAGATACAAACACAAACCTGCTGTCGGTTTTCCATTTAATCCTATTATTAGGAACAAGCACAGAGCAACATGTCTTGCGTGCATAATTGAACTTGAAATGTCTAGGATATACTTTGTTTCAAGTGAGAGACCTATGATGATTTGCATCTATACATTTCATGTATAAATAGAGAGTGCAACCACTAATAATAGAAATACAACACTACTGTGCAAGCACATGTTGGATTGTTCAACGTGAATTAATGACTAATAGTTAGTTACTTGTAGACTAAAACTTATTGGCCACATATGTTTTAGGATTAGCCACATGCAGCCATATATTCGGTCAAGACTAGCTAGCTCTACATCTCCGTAAACTTGAAGTTAGATCTAGATCCCAAAAGATTGAAGTTTTACTTTCCTCATCCTAAGCCTAGCTACATGCATATGGGTTGTTATTTTTCCTAGCTACATATGCATATGTGACTATGTGTTGTTATTTTTATGACATATATATACAAGAGCTAACCTTTAATAGATGGTCGCATTACTTTGTTCGTTCCAAGTGTGTGGTTTTACTGTTGTAGGGTACTCATAATCATAAAAGGTATATATCTAAATTGATGGTCATATTCACCAATTTTTATGCTTAAGAAAATTGTTATGATAGTGTTAATAATCAAGTTTACTGAAGCAAGCTGTCATTTCCATCATAGGCATGATAAATTTTTTTGCTCCAACTACAATGTGATGGTGAAATACTCCTCCATCCAATCCCACTGCGCGCATGTACATTAGATCTTGTGCACCCTCCTGGCCGGGCTATATGCATGCTCAAACTCCAGTAAAGGCGCATCGCAAAACACGCCTAGCCTCACGCTACACTATGGTGTCAAATGCTTTATTATGCATTATTATTGAATAAGATTATCTATTATTGATGCAGAAGATTCTCTGGTCTCTATCCCATCGTTAAAACAACTAATTACCAATATATATATTTACCGACAAATTGAAGGTTATCGATGTCTCTTGGTACAAAAGAAGGAAGGCTAGCGCTGTTTGTTGGGCGACTACGGCCACCGGCGGGGTTCAAGTCAATTAGCAAAAGAGATGTGACTGATTGCCCAATTGTTGTCTGTCTCCATCTGTAACTGCATGCCTCCTGACAGAGAGCACCAATGCAATAATCTCCATGCTCGTTCAGCAGATCAGACAGGAGCCAGAAAGATCACCAGTGCAACACACAGGAGCACATGGCCGGCCGGTTTGCCTGCAGTAGCATGCATATGCACTAGATCGTGTGCCCCTAGCTAGTAACAGAAAGGTGGACACGCCGAAGTTGCTATTGCCATGCACGCGCCATTCCTGCCTGTGTGCATATGCATGCATGGTACTGGTGGGTACGTGTGCGTTAGTTGGTTCTCGATCGTGTGCATGCAGGCAGGCATATGGTGTTCGATCGATCGAGGTGTTCGTTGCACGACGATGATGCCGGCCGAAGTTTTTTTTTTTTGGTCAAATTTGGCAAACTTATCTTATATTATATTCTATGTAATAGTTAGTTAGGTCAAGTAGATGTGTCTCTGGCTGTGCATGTAGATGATAGTTTATATATATATATATATGAGTGGGAGGTTAACACTTAACACCCACCGGCAGAAGACAATAATTACTGTACGTGAAATAAAAGAGAGCAATATATTCGTCCTCATACATGCAATGTTCATGCCTCCCTCGTATTTATTACAATTCAGTAATTTCACTTAATTTTGAATCCTAATACAGACGATTGAGACTACTCTGGTGTACGATGGATCGAGCTCTGTCCTCGAAAAAGATGAAGATGGTTGCCCATTATCATCTCAATCAAATTCCTTGGGCTCTATGGCATGGGATTCTGGTGGGCTCTGTGGCACGGCATTGTCCGTCTCAGATCCCCTGGGCTCTGTAGCACTAGAGTCTGGTGGTGGAACATTCTGCATCTCAAAGATCTCCTAGCCATGCTGCTGGCCACCTATTCCAAAGATTTTCCTTAGGATCTGTGGGAGCCAACCTATTCCATATCTTCTGGCAATGATTATTGCTACTGCATGCAGAAACAAATAAACATCCATCTATCAGTTTTAATAATTTTCTTCTTTGCAGCAAAGATAAAGTAAGAAATTGTACTAAAATGACATGCCTCACTCTCTACATCCTTTTTCATTTCTTCTGCGTTCACATGAGAGCAGAGCATAAATAACAGAATAATATTGGAGATCAAATTTTTATGAATAATCAAACGTGTCTTATAATTGATTGATAAAAGTAACAACCAATAAAAAAAATGTTACAGCATCATTGCCAACAATAGAGTAAGAGATGTCGAGGTCTCTATTCCCACTGCCCAATTGTGGCGAGTTGCACGTTGTTGACACTTCATTCAACTAAAGATTGATAGGGAGCAACCAGAGTACAAGTACGAACCGTCATTGGGATCCAGTTCACATCGCTCCGGCTCCATTGACGTTGTTGGCGGCTGGTCGCCACTCGCCATTGGTGTAAGGTACCCTTTTCTATAATGCCAAAATAGCTTAAATCAGGGTTCCGG